ATTCAAAGACATTTAAGATGTACATAATCCCGAAACTGTCACAACCCCCTTCTGCTTTAAGTTGCAATGAAGAGAGGGGTGTTAAAGATGATAATTCTCAATGCTCCTCAAATATTCCATTACATAGCTAAAGGGGCTGAATGTTTCAAGGGAAGGGAGGAGTGAACCTTTCCCAATACAGTAAGCTCTGGGGTTTGAGGTAACTGACATTGAACGTTTTTTTCACTTTCATCCTGACATCTTCCCGTAGGAATGCTGCAGAATCTAGTCTCGGAAATCGGCAATACAGCATGTAATTTAGACACAGTATCTCTTGTGAAGCATTGTCTCAACAATAGCTTTGGCGTCTGGATATGTCACGGCCCCAACACCTTCTTTGACAGGATTGTAGCGTCTGGTAGAGTTAAGCTGGCGCCCGATGACATGGGACAAGAGGACCAGGCACGCTCAGCCATCTCAATACACCGCTTAACTGGTAAGCGTTGGGCTTAGAAGGTTGCCATTCTCTCAGCTGCGTGGGTAACAAGAAGGTAACGAGCACCCACACATATTCGCAGGGATGTTTTCGAGAACTCTGTTTTGGAGATCACTAAGAATATTTCAAAGGGATTACTTTCAGAGGGGTAAAAATGAAATGGCGACATTGCAAATACATGTTTATCAGCTATGTAATTGTAAACATCCTTGTTAATGAAGACCTACAAAATATTATTTTATGTTTAGGTGGGCAGCTGTAATATATTACTTTAGATCTAATGGGATTTCTAGAACGCAGAGGGCAGTTTTAAATGGACTTAATGGGGGTCTTTTCATCCGTGGGAGATTTCTAAGAGATTGGTCAATGATTACATTCCAGTTATAACTGAAAGACTGAGTGGGTGATTCTGAGAAAGGCCGGTTTCCCTAGTCAACAGAACAATTGTATAGTCGACGCAATACTGATTTACCTGTAGCTATTCAGTGTTCGCACAAATGCCAAGTTATGCGTTTAGAGTATCTAATGTTTTGTCTCTGGATGTCAATCATCAAATAAAGTAAATAAAAACATCATTCCCCTTTAGGCTAAGAGGAGCTTTCGTTTCAAAATGATTTGACGTCCATGTTTATTTTAGATTGGATGTACGTGAAGATGAATTACTTCATGGTGAAAAGTAGGGGAAACGGCAGAACAGTTTTTTGCTTTGTACAATTGCACTGTCAACAATTCTGCAACCTTTATTTCTGGTTGTGTCAAACGGAGAGTGGGCGGCTTAGGCTCAGAAATCTACGAAGTGTGAAATCCTGTCCTTTACTCGTACCAGGATCCGACGATCGTGGGTTCGAATCCCAGATTCACCCTTATTATGTCCCTTACTTACAGCTGATAATCACCATCGTCCCCATGCTTGTAGGTTTCACCTAAATAGTAACTATCTAAGACCTGCATCATTTCATGCATCACATGATGTCCCTTCACATCATGTTTTTTGCTTGTTTATTTATTGTTTAAAGTCGCACTCAGCAGTCTTACAGCAACATGACGGCGGTCTCTAAATAATCGAGTCTGGAGCTGACAATCCAGTGATTGATATCATGAGCATCGATCTGCGCAATTTGGATACGATGCATGACCACCTGATCCCGTTAGTCGCCTCTTACGACAAGCATGGGTTGCTGAAGACCTATTCTAACTCGGATCTTCACGGGTCTCTTCCAACATTAGTGACACGTGGTGATAGAAGTGAAAATTCGGCTCAAGAAGGCATTGCATTCAATTCACTTACTCATTTTACCTATAAAGTGGCACCCGATAGCAATGGCTGTTATCTCAGCTTGAAGATGCTAGCTGTGAGCGTCGTATACAGAATCAACTGAAGATGTACTGAAACAGCGATCCTGGCAACAAAATTGTCCTGCCCCCTGGGGCTCATAGGGATTTACCCCAACAAGGGAATCCTTAGACAGTGATAATGTTATAATCTGTGAACACTTCCCTGTGGCTGTGCTGATGTAAAATATAGTCAAGTGAGTGATCCTTTGACAGAGTGAATGGGCCAGTTCTCCTCATAAACTAGTCATTCTCAACACATGAGCCGGTAGTGGAGATGATCTATGTAATGCATTACATGGTGGCAAGTAGTCCCATGTGTTGGAAGTTTATAACCCGGTAAGAAGATACAAGGAATGGAGGAACTGCCTGGCTAGGTTTTGATTGAAATATAAATCCGTAACAACTGACTTGTTTTCGTAACCAAGAAACTAACATCAAACTTGTTGTAATAAAACATTTATGAAAAAAGGTCAATATGTAAATCAAAATATTCAGATAACACAGGGAAGATGACAAGATTCGAGTCCGTAACTAACTAAACAAACATATTTCATCTCTAACTTTTTTGGTTATTAACGAACTCGAACACGAGAAGACATCACGATAAAAGAGATAGCGTTCACTCTCTGGCAACATCTTAATGGGTTTTCCTGTGATGAATGACATCTAGGCTATTTAGTGCTATATTGATGGTAACTCTACTGTTGTAGGGAAGGGTACGTATTTAAATAAATAGGTTCGTAGTCGGCGTTCTCTCTAGGAACTATTTACATACACGTATCACTTCCATGAACCAGGTGACTTATACAAATGTGTAGTCATAAATATCGTAGAAGCAGAAAGATCGAATTGTATTGGTCTTGCGGTAAAGCGAAAGCGTCAGTTTGCAATCTGGAAAAAAGATGTATCTACCATGGCGCTAAGGCATATAAAATGATGGAGTGGTGACGTCTTCTGGGTACAGAAGAACTCACATGTTGTCTGCTCTGGGGACGTTTTCACCCATTTGCCTTTTCACATCCTGTGTAGAGTTTTGTCAGGGTCTGCTGGTCTCAGGTTTAATCCATGATTACCACCGTTATGATCTTAGGATGTTAGTCATCATACTACAATTGTGTTGACAGTATTTACAATAATTGGTTTTAAGCAGTTTTCAGCACACCGGGGAATAACGTGAATGATTAGGTTGATTGATTTGTTGTTTAACGCCGCACTCAGCTTAATATTCCAGCTATATGACGGCGGCCTGTAAATAATCGAGTCTGGACCAGACAATCCAGTGATTAATATCATGAGCATCGATCCACGCAATTGGGATCGGTGACATGAATCAACCAAGTAAGCGAGCCTGACCACCCGATCCCGTTAGTCGCCTCTTACGACAAGCACAGTCGCCTTTTACGGCAAGTATGGGTTGCTGAAGACCTATTCTATCCCGGAATCTTCACGGGTCATAACGTGAATGACATTTCAATATGAACCAACATCAGGAATCATATCTCTTTACACGAAAACTGTGTATACGTACATGCTTAAGCTACGGTTCAGATATGACTAAAATGATCATACGGATGAGTTCATACAATAAGGATACCCTTGCATGTATCCTGCGATTGCCCTAAAACGTATTCATATGGCAAGGATTGTTACATACACAAAGTAGTTGTCCTTCAAATTGTAAAGGGAATAATTGTATCCCCGACATTCTCGGTGTCATGACGAGTTGCATAACCTTTCAAATATTGGTTACTACCAACAGTAACCTTAAGTGAAGAAGACGTCATGACGAGCTAGGAAAGTGTTCACATGGTTGAACGTTCAATACAACATGTGTATTTCTTACATAAACTAGCAACATTTATTTCTAAAATGTGTTCAAGTGTAATTATAGTAAATCGCCTGTGACTTTAAGTTTCTTTGTCAGCAGTTAACTAATCTGTCATGGGCCTGGTGCCATTATTGAATAGGTTGACACCCAAAGGAACTGATTGGCATAGGTATTAATAGACTGCAATAAAATGGAAGTGCACACAACTTCCCCAGGGAATAAGTACATCCCGGGTTCTTGTGAGTGTGAACTTGATTCACTGTAAACTAATGACATTGACATATCATTAACGAGAAACGGAGCGGTTTATATCACTTTCTACTATGATATGTTTTTCAAAACACTTTTGATGACATTCCATTTAAACTTAACATTGGTTAAATTCGGGTTGTTCTTTTTCTATGTGTTCAAGCGTTCTAGTTCAAGTAATAATTAATTTGGATGAGTTTGACTCATATTGTTTGTCGCTTTTAGCAGACTGATCATTAAAGCGTTGCAGGGTATGTGGAGAATGTGGGAGTTGAATGAGGCACTCAGTATCACGATCGAACGCCATACCCATCCGACTACCCAAGACGCACCTTAATAACTTTGAGAAAATCGATTATTTGTCCATCCATAATTGACAAAAAGAGCCAAACATAATACCCTTTAGGATTGTCAGTCCAGGAGAATGCTTCACAGCGGATAATAGACGTTCCTGATGCCTAGTTTCATATTTCACCTTATCTTAGAGTCTTCCTGTTGTGAGTAATTACTATGTTAGTATAAGTAAAAGTCTGCCATACAATGTTGCCGCTCATATAAAAATCAGTTCTCTTTTTCTTGTTGCATCGGTGTCTGCTAGAAGTGCATTGAATGGATACACTCGACATTGACATTTAAATGACATTCTCTGTGCAAGTGGTTGGAGAAACAACTATTCTGTGTAACAACATGACTTCTTGAAGATGTGAAAAATAACATTGTCATGTTTTACACGTTATTATCGAACTGACAATATCCGAAATATTTTTGTTTCGTGATATTTATTTTATGCATGCTAATATATAAGTAGCGGACATCTGATACTTTTAGTAATCTAAACGGGATCTTCATACATCTGCAAATATAAAACCTTCACAAAACAAACGCCTTTAAGATAGATGATAAGTCATCGCACCCTTAAAAGAACATGAATTGTTTTTGAAATAATAAAGTTTTGAATCCGGGAACAAAACGAAATATGTCAAAATATTTAATATTAGATAACTTTAAGTAACTTTATAATTTTATATCCACTATCTAAACCTGTTTGTATTGAAATCTTAACACGTTCGCATGGTTTAAGGACCCCCTTCTATGTTAAGCATTAAACCTTACCTTTAAACGTTGAGGGGTAATGTGGCGTTAGCCGGTAGTTGTCTCGGTTCCCTTGATGAGTGGACAGACGTTCCTTCGAGTCTGACGGTGATTCTGTACTAGTGACAGTCTTTATACAATGCTTTCAGAGAGGCATCGATCACACACGCTATTGAGGTGTTTTCCCACGCAAGGCTAGGAGACACGCAGGGGGCGTGGTCACAGTGCTTGTGTTGGCTGCAATCGCAGTGATATCGACAATTCGACAAGACTAATGTGGCGTATGCCAACTCAAAACCTTTCGGGATTTGCCGTTTTAACTTATGGATCCGTGATCATTTCAAACATGAGGACTCGCCATGATATATACATGTGACATTTCACGATGAATATGAATAGACAGCTGAAAACGGAAAGTGATTTCACCAATATCATTACTTTGGGATGTAATTATACGTGTTCGGAACAAGTACTTTATAAATGCGTATTAGTCGTTGATATTTCCTACCTTAGAATAATGATCATTTGTGTCTATCACCTAGTTGTATTAAGTGCATGACGGTCGTATTCGAATATCGAAACGGAATAGTTTCGGTGCTATTTCACCATTTACATATCTGCTTCCTTGGATTGGACTTGGTTTTGGGTGCGGATTTCGTCTGTCCCAAAGAATGGTGTATTATAAACATTTACCATTCAAATGATGATTGATATATTAAAGTACCGTAAGTATCTGCGTAGAGGTATGTTATTTGACGCGTACAAATAAATAATGGACACATTTAAAATGTTTGCACAAGACATGTACAGAGTTCTGGTAAAAATCAATAATTCCTGAGGTTAATAGGTTCGAGAAAGGTTCAGTGGGCGTTTAAACGAGTAAAAGTGTTATAATGCAAGCCTAGAAAGCTTCAAATGGTGAATGGAACAAACCTTGCAGGGAAACAAGCCCGAATTTTGTGCTACCTTGGTAGCGGCAGTGATAACAGGTGCGGCATAAATTAATGTATTTTAATGGATTATAGGAACTAACGTTTCATTGACTGGCTCTTGGGTTGATATCATTTATGTTTATTGGTTAGAAAATAATCATTGTGGCCAAGAGTACTGACGACAGTTGCTAAAGTTCAAATCAGCATGTAGTCATGGTAGTATATGTAGTAGTTGTCGTTGTTGGTAGTAGAAGTAGTAGTAGTAGTAGTAGTAGTAGAAGAAGTAGTAGTTGTTGAGGTAGTAGTAATTGTAGTAGTATTAGTTGTGTTGTTGGTAGTAGTAGTCATAGTAGTAGCGGCAGTGAAAGTGATAATAATTAAAAGTATATACAGGCCTTCCTGGACATGTACACGACCCATACAGAATGCTGCCAAAATCCGTCATGGCTATACCAGTCACACTTCAATCATGCTAAAAATTTGACACTTCATTTGCTTTCATGTACCAACGTGTCTCTTAAAGATTAAGTTGCAACAATTCGTATTCTACTGTCAACGACAATAACGTTAGCTGCCGCCCGCGTTGTCGTCGTGGAATTCTGTCAGAGATCACATTTATATTAATGTCAAGTTACCTTCTTCGTGTCACACCTCCTGACAAGCGCTGAATGTTCTTCTCAATAGTCATGCTCCCCCTCGCAACCTAATCTAGCGTCGTCACACATTGTGTGATTGTATGTCAGCAATTATGTTCCTAGAAGGCACTGCTGTCACTCCAGAGCACTATCTACGGACTACTAATTTTATAATGGATACCTCTAAGGTTAAGCGATCGTTCTTGTTCTACAACATACCACAGACTTCATAATTGTCCTTCCGAGGTGAGCATGGCCCACATAGCGATTTCAGTTCCCCATGTTCTCGAGCATCCTGTGTTGGTTCTTTAAACTTTGGTAATGCTTACAGTTAATGTGAAATAATAGCAACGCCTTTACGCGGACACCTGGTATCATCACTATTTGATAAGGATTCATGAACACATGCTCATGATACAGCCTGAATCTTACAATGGACAAATCTATTTTTTAAGACTGTGGAAAGGGTCTTGTCTTCTTCTGGAATATGTAACGTAAGGTATTTGTCTGAAGTTATAATCAAGATAACGTCTTATTGTGAGTGAGTGAGTTGTGTTTTACGACGCTTTTAACAGTATCCTAGTTATATCACAGCGTGTAAGCTTAATATGGGAGGAAAGCCCCAAGTGGAGCAAATCTCAGGCGTTTACCCCTTTGGTGAAACCCCTGAGCATGGGTATGGTGCTGATAAACCTAGAAAAACACAGCGAATTGCGGCGTAATTGGCGACTGCCCCCCCCCCCCCCCCCCCCTCGTGCCCCCGAGTATGGTGCTGACAAACCTAGACACGTCTTATTTTACATTGTACAGGATTCAAATTTCAAGGAAAAACAAGAGAAAAGCAAATGTGTTTTAGTTTGATTTGTTATTCATTTGTGGACCCACAACATTCTCCTAGCACAAGTGTAAATATTCGTCCAGACATTTTCTCAGAGTATTTCGTTATTTGTTGTATAATTACATAAAAAAATGTTATGATTTTTCACATTAATTTACATCCAGGTGTTTTTCATGCTTGCTTTATAAAGCCACCGATTGACATATTAAACGATAATATATGTGTTAAAAATATCAGAAATGAAAACCGTCCACACATTTTGGAGAAATGAATCTTTGTATCACCATTTAACTAAGTAATCCAAACATTGCTTTACACTTAGTTAATAGACTACAACGCATAACGCCAGAGAGTAACCAGTCCCGATTATCTGCCGAAACAGATTCTATTGCGCGTAAAAGACAAAATAGTGATAAAAATATATGAATGGATCCCTGAAAATCAGTGATGGCAATAGGTGTTCGCGGATGTCTCGTCAGTAATAGAAATACCAAACGTACACGATAGGTCAAGTGCACAACATATACAATGTATTTGGATCCATGTCAAGGTTTCGTTGAATAATATTGATCTTGAAATAGTTAATGGGGGCACGTGGAACTGCGCACAGCGCACAGGTAAATGTTAACCGTCTGGCGCTTCATTAGGCACCCTGGGATGTGTATTCCCTTGGGGACTGAGAATCAAACATTCAGTGCACAGTGATCTCCTGACCGGGGAAAAATGACAGCGCTTTGAGCAAACCACAAGCATGGCGAAGATGGTAATATGATGACTGAGCCACGCATTCATGTCGCTGAACTGTGTCAAAGCTGGGCATCCACTGACACTGCGTTGGACAGTCTCTTTAAAGTCCTTGCATAATCTACATAATTACATGTTGATGCAAAATCACACATTGACATTTTCGAGTAGGAAGTGAACAAAAAACAGTAAACTTTCTGTTTCACTCTTCAGGCCAGCTGACTTCATCAAAGCGAACACTGCAGGGTTGCTGTTCTTCTCAACAAAGTGCACATAAACTCGAGGCTGTGGTCGTTTAGAGAGCATTACCTTGAATAACCGAGCCTGTGCCAATTTGAGATGGCACTTCGCTTACTTGACATTCATTTCTGTACCCTGCAGTAGTACAGAATCATTAACAAAATCAGCCTTTGACATTGAGATTGTCCCAATGTCAGTCAACAGATTGGGAGGTACCAAACCTAAGGCACCGAGAACAATGGGGAGTCGGAAAACTTAGTACTTGGGATGCAAGTGTGACATTTCGAAAGCGAGGTCTGCATATTTGTCATGTTTTTCCTGAATCTTTTCAATGACATAAGAGTCAAAAGGGACAGAAAATTAAATATTATAAATGATTTCATTGGATTTATCAAATATGACAAGAACAGGTTTGGTGGCCTGGATACGCAGGAGGCTGTAAACGGCCCTATTCCGAAAAATTTTGTATTTGTCATTTTCAGTGCCGCCCTCTACATATTCAGGGTCGTACCATGGATGGACCTCTGTGTCAAAACCACAAGCATGGCGAAGACTGTAATAACATGAACGAGACACTCCATCATGTCGCTTAAGATACTGTGTTTGTGCCAAAGCGGGGCATCCACTGATGTGATGGACAGTCTCATTAAATTCATTGCATAATCTACATTTCATATTTACATTTTGATGCAAAATCACACATTGACGGTTTCGAGTTGGAAGTGACTGGTCCTGAGCAGCAAACAAAAAAGCCTAATGTTTCATTTTTCAGGTCAGCCGACCTCATCCAAGCGAAGGACTCGATGCAGTGGTCGTTCAGAGAGCCTCTCCTTGAAGAACTGAGTCTGGGCCGATTGGATATGGCACTTCGCTTGATTGACACTCATTTCTTTACCGCCTAGCAGTACAGAACAATCAACAAAATCAACACTGACATTGAGATTATGTCCAACATCTTTGGCTCGTTCAAGAAAACTGTGGAATGCCTAGTTTTCATCATGACATACTTTACAAGAGGATTATCAGACAAATAAATGTGTGCAAAAGTGCACAATACAGCTCTATCATGAAGAACCTCCACGTTAATCAAACCACGCCCTCCCATAATGATTTGTAAATATAAGCCTTGATGGAAGAGCGAGGGTGGCGGGATCTATTGTATGACATGATTCTTCGCGTGAGGGTGTCAATACCCAAAATTTCTTGTTTCGTCCAATCAACAACAGCAAAAGAATACGGAAGGACGGGAGCAGCATAAGTATTTGTGGCTTTGACTTTATTGCGAGCGTTCAGCTCTGAACACTAGATTTTCATTATTATTGTTATTATTATTAATATTATTATTTACAGAGTAAAATAAAAAAATGAAGCAAAGAGGGTTTAGGTGATCCTGATACAGTCAGGCTGGTTAGGCTCATCATCAGCTCAGGGCCATTGCCTCCTAAACACGCAGCCCAGACAGCGAACGGAACTTCTCCCAGAAAGCGCTGCCTAGTCAAACCCACCCAGAACTTTTCGGAGAATGTGAAGACTTCCTAACACTGCAGCCTTCTGCATTACTCAGACTGTCAGAAGGGATGTATTCCTGGCAGCAAACCCGGGAACTCTCCCGATGTCAGTCAATAGATTGGGAAGTGCCAAACCTCAGGCACCTAGAACAATGGGGAGTCGGAAAACTTGGTACTTGGGATGCAAGTGTGACATTTCGAAAGCAAGGTCTGCATATTTGTCATGTTTTTCCTCAATCTTGTCAATCACATTGGAGTCAAAAGGGACAGAAAATTGAATA